TGTCTGTCCAGCTAACCTCAGTGCAGGGTTTCCCTTGGCCCCTGGTACTGCTTTCTTGCCTGAAAACTAATTTTACCTTCAGGTAGAGACTGGAGTTTCTGGCTGGCTTCGGGGCAAGGCGCTAGAACTGGTGCAAGGAAATCAGTGACAGCTTTCTTTGTACATCCGTAGAGAATACTGTCCCTGGCGTTGGGTTGGTTTCTCACCAGAAAGCGGGAGTGGGGTGGGTGCGCAGGTCTTGGCTGGGGACTCTGGGCTGCCCAAGCCTTTTTTCCGCAGATACCGTGGGGAGCTCGAGGAGTCCAGGCGAGCTGCCGAGGCAGAATTAACTTCTCTGGGAATCATTCCCAGATGTTTTGGGAGTAGTACAATGCTGGGTTTTGGCCGTGCTTGACATCTGATTCAGCCTGCACGCTCATGGGATTGAAAAAGCAGTGTGCTCGCTACCCACGTTAGGCGAGGTCTGGATAGTTGTAATAAAAGTTGGCTTGGCCAGTAATAAGCTTAGAGGTTGTACTTGCTAGCTGGATCGTGATCACACACTCACAAATTCTTTTGAGAAGGGAAAATATGAGGCTTTTTACATATTTTTTTTTTTTTTTTTTATATTACAGTACAGACCACTTTGATGCAGACTTTCCTAAGCTTAAATATGTTAAATCCAACTAAACCAAGTAGGTTTGTGGATAATTTTAATTAAAAAACGCCAAGATGTTCAGTGCTCAATTAAAACACTGTCGCTTCTTCAGTCTCTCGAACTACAGTGCTGCTGCTTCTTTAATCCCCAACCCCCCTCTTTGTCTTTATACCAGGTTATAAAGCAAAGCAGATTCACGCCTGGTTATAAAAGCCAGGAGCAAGTGTGAGATCTTTATTGGATCACCCTTCCGAGAGGAAAAACTCCCTATACAAAACGCGGAGGGAAACCACTGCCCCAATGGCATGGTGCCTTCCCCTCTTATATTTCAGTCTGTGGCGCTCCATTAATGAAGTATAATTTTTAACTCCCAGCTTTGCTCGTGCTTACGCCGGGAGGGGGAAGAAAAAATATGAAATAGCGTGTTCCAATAGCAGTGAGCACTTGAGTGCAAAATGCATTACACTGTAATAGTTGAAGCTTTTCTGATAAATTAAGACACTCAAGTTGTTATTGATCTGGCACTGCAAAGTCATACTCCTCTGAGAGTGGCGCACTACAGTTTAATAACTCTGCCAGAAGCTATTAAAATAAAAAAAGATGGCCAATTTTTGAGCTTCAAAAGAGCTCGGCTTGATAGAAATACTATTTTTTAAAAAGTAAACGCTTCAAAATAGCAACAAACGAATGCCAGAACTTGCAGCTTGTGTTGTAACCCTTGTATTCCCCCCAATGATCGTAACTGTAACAACGATTTAAAATCAGCTGAAACCCACAGGGTCTGTAACCCGCAGGACACAAAGGGTTGCTGCTGTTAAGGTCGCCAACTGCTGTATCGGGGTTTGCCCTTGAGTTTTGTAATGCTGGCAGCGATTTCTCTTTGCTGAGCTCTATGTGAGCGCAGATGGAGGTTCCTCCCGTCCTGATGGATGTGCCAGAAGAGGTTTAATCGTCGTAGCTCTTTCCTTGTGACGTTATTAGCCGGTACGTAGCAGCGAAACTCAATGGGCCAGTTTTGGGGGTGTCTGTCACTCCCGAGTCGAAGCTGCAGCTCTTTACCCCGTGTGCTGGTTTTGCCTCACGGTACCCCAAAAATGCCCTCTCTGTATGCGTCAGCAGCTTGCAGGAAGCTTCAGCTATGGCTGCCTGACGTGAGAGCAGCTTCCCGTGAAAACGCCCTGTCCTGCAGCCAGTGCAGTTTGCCTCACGGTACCCCAAAAATGCCCTGTCCTGCAGCCAGTGCGGCTCTAAAGCTGTATTTTGGAGGTTTTGTTGCTGATGTGAATTGTTTCCTCTTGAGCGCCGTTCAGGAAAGATGCGTTCTCACTCGTTTGGATCATACAAGAGATTTCTTCTCGAGCACCCATTTGTAATTACTAAATGTGTGTGTCAGCCGAAATAAACGTACTCCTTTTCATCTTATAATGAAAATATTGTAACTTTATCCCCTGCCTTGAACAGCAAATTAGTGACTGCTCAAAGCTAATGGAGGAGCGTGGGGCATGAAATCTCTTTTAACATCTTCAACACTAAACCTGCACAGGCTTTTGTATTCTAATCCTTATATTTACCATAGTCACCCTCATGGGTGACGTTAGTTGACTTGCTTTTGTGTTTCTGACCTGTAAAGCGTGGGAATATCTGTAAAGTAATCCATATTCTCAGGTGTAAGCTGATGCTGTCACGAGCTTCCAAAGCATGGAGAACAGTTGGTAGTTCATTTTGTTTACCTTTGCATATGTTGTTTGCATTGAGTGACCTGCTTTTTTTTCCTCTTTTTTTCTTTTTCTTCTAGGTCTATAATTAGCAGAAGATTTTTCTGTATAGTTGGCACACTATACCTGTATCGGTGTATTACCATGTATGTGACTACACTCCCAGTACCTGGCATGCATTTCAAGTGTTCTCCAAAGGTAAACTTCTTCTGCCTGCCTTTCCATGTTTTAATCTGTATGTTTTCCCCCTTGTCCTGCTGTTACCAAAACTGTGAGCAACGCTTTCTCAATAATTGTTACTAATTTGAAAATACCAGTTTGGCCTGACGGGGATGTCCTTCTGCAGATCATCAGCTTCCCTCTCTGGGAAGGTGTTGACGGTTACTTTGGGGCAGTGCAGGCATTCCCACCCTTTTCTGAAGCGCTGACCTACGCAGTTTCTCTAGCGCTTTCAACTGATTTGCACGATCAGCACTTTTCTGTCTCCACCGAAGCTGTCGAAGGTGTGCAGCCTGCAGCGGTGGCACGTGTGACTCATTTCTAAACACCTCAGTGTGCCAAATCCAAGTAGGATTTGTTTGAAAATGGCCCAAAGAGACTTTTCTGAGGCTGGTGAAACTCTTGTCTCCTTTGCAGTTGTGTATATATTTGCAATTGTGTTAGCGCGAGGACTTGCCGCCTCCTCCCCAATCTGGCAATGACTCCTGTTTGTTGTGCCAAGGAATAAAATGGGCTTGCGAAAGCCGTGGCTGAAACCGGGCTACTGAGGCAGAGGCGCTTGGGCAAGACCCTTGTCAGCCTCGAAGGGTAATTCGGGTGCTCAGGGTGGAGATGGGACAGGGATGGAGGTGTTGCGTCCATCTCATATCGCGCAAGCGTTGGTGTAAATGTGGCCCTTCCTGCAACGTGCTCTTCGTGGTGGGGAAATGCGATCTAAAAGATTGAAATTCTGCGGTAGGGAACGAGGTGCCCGTATTAGACACGAGTGCTCTTTCTCCGTAGCGGCTCATCTCTGCGCCCCTCCTGGCATTGTTTGTGCTATAGCTTGATTTAAGCAGGAGAAAGACAGGGAAAAACATAATTTCTGTGAAATATCTACTGCACGCAGCTCAGCGGCTTTGTGTGCACAGCCAAAAGGTAGATGAGAGGTGGGAAACCCGCTGATTTATGGGTAGTAAAATCCTGCTGTGACTCGGGACACGTGCTGTCGCTGTTTTGGTGAGGATTGCTGGTCTGTACGAACCAAGCCGCAATGCTTCGGTTCCTTGGGGAAATAAAGCCAACAAATGTACTACGCCGGTTGTTTGACAGGGCAGAGCATTTGCCAAGCCACGTGTGGCTTCTGGAGGCACCGAGGTCTTTTGTAAAGAGAAGTGAGTGGGAGAGGAGTCAACATTGTGTTTGATCGGTCAGCCGTTATGAAATTAAAGAAGAAAGAACACAGTTATTTATGGGCTGAAGTGAGTAAATCTGCCACTTTTGGAAATTTACAGCGTTGGCAAGTCCCGTTTCATGACTCGAGTAAAGACAAGCCCATGTTGTGCTCTTCTGTTGCCCCAATAAGACGGAGGATTAGCTGGGCTTTCCTGAAAGCTAGAAATATACTGGTAGGAAAAGAATAACCTCTCAACACCTTATTGAGTTATATATGATTGTGAAGAGTGGGCTTTGGGGAGCATTTGTCAGGAATTAATAAGTTCTGCTTCTTAAAGCAAGACCGAGCTTTAAAATAAAAGAAAAACATGCCTATAATGGGCAATCGGGGGGTGAGAGGGGAACCTGTGTTTCCTTCTGACTGTTAAATGGTTACTGCGGATTTTAAAACTTTATAAAATGAGGTAAGGATGCAGCACACGTGTAGTCGTGTGCGTTGATCTGCAAGTCCCGCTCCTTTGAGCACAGATGGTTCCTGCTTCCCGTTGGGTCCCGGAGGTGCTCAGCAGGTCCTGGTTGTGGTTGTCCCACAGCATACATTTTCTTTGTGGTTTTGTTTAACGTTTGGGCTTGGTTTAGAGCTGAGAGCAGCAAAAGCAAAGTCTTGGGACAGTGCCAGCTGCCCTTCAGTCGCCTGGGAGGAGGCAGAGGGGCATCCTCACTGGAAGGACACCGTTTGCTTCAATTTGGCTTTCCTAAGGTCAGCCCGTGTCTCATTTCCAGTCTTTTTCCCCTCTAGAAAAGTGCTGCTAGCTTTCGGAAAAAGCCGTGGATTTACAGATTGGTCTCATGTATCAAAGCAAAAAGAGAGAATAACTGAAAGGCAAAGTTGCTGGCTAACGCCATTGCTTTAAACTCTGACAGGTCAATGCCGATATTTTACCGTGCTTTTGTGTTTTGTTTTTCCACCAGCTTTTTGGAGACTGGGAATCTCATCTGCGAAGGATAATGAAATTGATTGCTGGCGGTGGATTGTCCATCACAGGATCCCACAACATGTGTGGCGACTATCTGTACAGCGGTCACACCGTCATATTAACTCTTACATACTTATTTATCAAAGAGTGTAAGTTGGTTACGGTTCACGTGGCATTTCCTGTTGTATAATTCCTTGCTAATTGAAAATTATTGTTGTGCTGATTGGTAAATACAATTAAAGTAAAAATGCACGCTTTTTCAACTGAAGAAAAATAATAGAACTTCAAAGACATGGGGCTTACTGAAAAAGAAAACTTTAGAGGCAAAATAAAACACATTACCATATAGATGTCTGAATTAGATTTATTTTTTTTTTTAAATAAAATGCTTTCTTTAGAATATAATCGAAACCTTTGTTGCACCCTGCCTGATGAATGGTATTTCAATTACGTGTCTCCTAGTCTAGAGACAGATGAGAGCCGTGCTAAATGCAAGGTCGCTCATTTTGCAAGAATCAGGCCTTAACGTATGCAATTATCTTTTGTGAAAGGCGAAAAGAATGGATTGCCGTCTATGTAAACTCAATATTGAAATACAAATCAGCTAACTTTACTGACCGGGGTATATTATATCATTACGTACTGGGCCAGTTTCTCAAAGATTCCGTAACCTTCCTATTTTCCCAGGATCCAATTACCCCTGAGTACAATTTTAAGTTACACCTTAAGAGAACGGTGCTTAGTTTGTGATCTTGGCGTTGCTGCTCTTAATCTTAATGCGGGCATCGCGCTACCCACCCAGGACTGCAGTCGGTGTCCTCCGCTCCTTACAGCAATAGTCTTGCGCACTGATAACGTTACGCTTTGAAATAATCACTGCTTGTCCTTTCCAGATTCCCCACGGCGACTCTGGTGGTATCACTGGCTTTGCTGGGCCCTCAGCATCGTTGGGATGTTCTGCATCCTCCTTGCTCATGACCACTACACTGTGGACGTGGTGGTGGCTTACTACATCACTACAAGACTTTTCTGGTGGTATCACACAATGGCCAACCAGCAAGTGAGTTTCTCCCAGGCTTTGGATCTGCTTGACCATTTGCCGTAGCGTGGGGGTGGGCGAAGGTCCGCGCTTTGCCTTGGGCCTTTCTGCAGAAGTAGGAGCGGACTCACCTGTGTCTTGTGGAGCATCCCTCTCTATCACTCCTCACCTTGGGTTTGCAGGAAGGAAAGAGCCCTCATTGGTTGGTTTCATCTTGTTGTCTTGACCGCAAAAATACATGTAGGTCTACCTGCAGGCAGGCAGGCCTCCCTGCTTCTACTCTGTAACCTCCATTTTTGAAGTCCTTCTGACTTTGGGCCAGTTGGCCAGTTTTGTCACAGCAGAGCATGTAATCAGGGGGTTTTGCCTTGGTTTTGGGGTTGGGTTTTTTTTGTTGACGCCAGCTGGGTTTTCCTTAGGTTCTGTGGCTTGTGCCCTTTAGCTAGATGACAGCTCTCTAGGAGAACAGTATGAGGCCTCACTAAAAACAAACCAGTTTTTCAAAGTGTTCTCAAGCAGCAGTAAGTTCCCCTGACCAAGGGAAACGTTTTCCTTTTGGAGGATAGTGCAGAAGAGGACAGGCTGCTCCTCTCCTAAGGTACCGTGTCTGTGAAGGCATGAAAAATAGGGTGGTGAGGGAAATCCTGAGGATGAGGAGCTGCTTCAGAGGAGACGCGGCGCTCAATGGGAGAGACCAAAGCGTGGTTTGTGATACTCAACCAGAGGGCAGCGGTAAATGATTCAGAGGTTGAATGAAGAAGTCTAAATGAGGTCTCATGTCATTCTTGTTGTTCGTACTTTCCTGCCAGTGAACTAGATCAGTAAGAGATGAGCTTATAGTGCTGAGGAACGGGAGAGAAAATGTGCATGTCTGTTGTCCGTGGGAAGGACCTAGTGAGTTTGAGACACTCACTCTTAGGTCTGTAAGAGCAAATTGGAGTCCAAATATTTTCTTTGCAACGTGGAGAAAGATATGTTGTTTCTCTGTTGCATATGACTGCAGTTAATTATGCTTAAGAAAGACCTAGTATGATGATAGGACGTTAGTTAATATTGCGATGGTACAGACTCTGAGATCATATCGGGGCCTTCTAGCCACCGTGTCATATTATTCCAGTGGTTTTGATGCTACTTGAAGCAATACATCACAGTCAAGCCCTGTGGTAGGTTTTTCCCACCAAATGCCTAATTACGAAGAATGCGCTTTGATGTTCAATCAGTTTGGGAACCACTGTGTTTGATAGCGATCTGTGCCCAGACTTTAACTCTTGTCGTGCAGCACCAGGCTGACTTCCACGCTTTGATTTTGCTCCTGGGCTCTGTCAAAACAATGGCGCTGAGCGGTTGTGCTTCCAAACTAGAAGCTACTGAAGTCAGGATTGCCTTGAGTGCTAACGAGGCCTTGCCTCAGGAAAGCCCTTTGCCCTACTGTACGGAAATGTTCCTGTTTTGCCGCGCGATGTGACTCAGCAGGTGGCCAAGCATTGCTTCCATAAGCTTCTGAGACATTGGGAAACGCTGATCCCTGGATCCTTACTTGAGCACGCATCTCCTTCCTGGTGCTGCTCCACGTTCAGAGGGCTGTAGCTTGTGTCTGACCTTAAAATTAAAAGCAGAAGCCCACTGGGGCTAAAGTGTGGATACGTTTTACATGTGAGTTTGTGCCGTGGAAAGAGAGCTTAGTGTACAAGCCCCGTGCTCATGCCTTCCGGTGGGCTGATACAACGCTTCCCTGCCCTAGTGTTGCAAACGTGTGGCAGGGTAGTTGGATAACTCCCTCGGTGTCTACCCACTCCTTGTGTCTCAGCTGTGGCTTGCCCACGGCTAGGAGAAGCCAAAGGGTGGGTTTGAGAGGACATGGAGGGCAGGGCAGGGTTCCTTACCTCCTCTGGATGGGTCGAGGCATGCCTTGCTTGTTGCCCTGTAGGCACGCAGCCGAGCTCTGAAGCGATTCTTGAGCTACGTGACATTTCAGAGATACGTATGGAAACGGCTGCGCTTTGGGTTGGTTGGTTTTCATGCCCAAAGGAGAGGAGAAGACTGATCTTTTGGGCCGTTCATTCTTTTCCTGGTGGGACTGTTGAACAGCCGAGGTCTTGGAAGTGAGGGTGAGCCTTGCTCGGGAGCAGCGTTTGGTGTGTGCAGGGAGGCTGTGGAAAAGTAGTGACGTGCCCTTTTGTAATTCTCTTTTTTTTCGGGTTATTTTTGTGCAGGTGCTAAAAGAAGCTTCCCAAACTAACCTCCTTGCAAGGGTCTGGTGGTACAAGCCCTTCCAGTACTTTGAAAAGAATGTCCAAGGAATTGTACCTCGCTCCTACCACTGGCCCTTCCCCTGGCCGGTGCTGCACCGGGGCAGGCAGGTGAAATACAGCCGCCTGGTGAACGACACATAACAGCGTGTCAACGGACAAAATTTGGGGGGGGAAGGACCTGTCCCAAGTGCTAAGGACTCCGTATGAGAAGATGCCATAAAAAAAAAAAAAAAGAAAAAACAAAATCAACCGTTCCCTAACCCTTTCTTTTAACAGTTCCCTTGACTTAACCTATTCAGTTACCTGGTAAGCACTGTGATCTTTTTTTCTCTCCAAAGGATCTGCGTTGGACAACAATAAAGAAAATTTAACTTATCATGCACTGTTATACATTTCTTCTTAATAGATTTGGGATTTACATTGACCCATCACCATGTTCCTTTGTATATGATGCGACAGCATAAATGAAAGCTTTTATATCATAAGTTCTGGTCTTTCCAGTCACGTCTGGGAATAAAGCATATTATTTTCTTGGGAAAACATACTTTTCATATCTCTTGCCCCAAAGATTGGGCTGTAAGCCATTTTCTAGCAAATGACTATATGAAGGTTTCTAAATACCTGCCTTGGGTAAAATCGAGAAATCTTTCTACCTGTTGCACCGCGCTACGAGTAAGATGATAGACACAGGAAGGTTTGGTAATCTTGATTTTGTAGAATCTGCAGTGACTGTGTCAAAAAGTGCAAAAAAAAAAAAAAAAAAAAAAAGAAAAAAAAAAAGAAGAAGAAAAAAAGTTGTAAAGTGATTTTCTAAGTATTTCCTAACTTTATTTTTCAAAATGTGTATGAAAATTAAATTTAAAAAGATTTTTACATGTCAGAGAATAGAGAGTTAAAATTTAAAGAAGATGCTTCTTGGGAGAGAGAGATTTGTCTATGTTTCTAGTGCCTTTCTTGTCTTGATTGTATGGTCAGTAGGCAGTCTTAAATGTTTTTATTTAAAATAAAGTATTCCATGAAAGCAGAATTATATATACTGTATAATTACTAATTTTTGCATTTATAGCTAAATTAAACTGGAAGTTTGCTGATGATGTTGAAATTGCCATGTGTGTGTAAACAAACCATAAACCAAATAAAAAGGGTCCGATCTTGCTCACACATTGTGGGCAGGTCCAACTAAAAGATATCACTTTATTGTCTACTCGGTAGCTGTATTTTAAAAAGAAAAAACAGCCATGAATTCCTGTTTTTTAAAGAATTTTACAAATGATCACTGAGTGAACTACGAATGGTTTCTCCATCCCGTATCGAAATGTTGTTGAGAAACAACAAAAGAGAATCTATTTCTTTAAAATATTTGTGCAGAAACTGCATGTAATTATAAGTTTCACTCCTACCATACATACTGTATGTTTGGGGAAGTATTCTATCCTAAACTTGCCAATGTGCAGAACAAAATAGTTTTTTTTAAAGAATGAAGAAGAGAAAATATATATATAAATATATATATATATCCATTCTGTATTTTACGTGAAGCAGAGTTATCTTCTGTAGGGTTTTTGTGTATTCACAAGGTGATATTTGTATTGTAAAACAACAATGGTGAAGGAAAATAAAAAGGCTTTTGAAAAATGTAGTTTCCTTTATCTTTTTAACGTTAAGTTTAAATTTAAAGCTGGGTTTATTCTTCCAAACCTTGCCTTTAATTTTATGTGTTATTGCACTGTAGGCCATCAAATTTGGACTGTATGGAAACTGCATTGATTTCGAATTGCTGTTCGCGTTGGGCAAACCAGTGCCTTATCTGAAATAAATGCTATGCAATAGATTCCGATCGTGCGGGAGCCGGGAGCAGATGGGAGAAGCCTTCCTGGGAGTCATCCACCAGGGCTTGAAAAATCTACCCCAAAACTGCTGGGACGGAGCGCATTGCAGGGTCAACATCAGGCCGGTCACTACGGTGACCCAAAAAAATAAAAGAAAAAGTGACTTTTCTGTGAGTATGAAGTAGTGAAAGTGTCATTTCTTCTTCTTTTTTTCTTGGGGGGGGGGTGGTGGTGGTGGTTTATCTCCACTTCTCTGCCCTGTCCCTTATCCTTGGTCAAAAACTTCCTTGAGGAGTTGATGGGGTGTTCCTTCTGCCGCTTTGCCTCGCCGTTGCTCGGGATGCTAAACAAGGCTGTCCCCGTTTCTTTATCAGTTCTCTTTCTCCCCGGGAGGGAGGGGATTTCTGCGCGCCCCGTGCTTCTCGGCACAACCCTTTGCAAGGGCAGTTGCAGAGCTGCCGGTGAATTTTCGGGCTCAGCTCTGCACGCTTTACCTTCAATTGGAGGTATTATGTTTGCCAACCGTGTGGTAGCAAAGTTGATTTTTTATTTTTTTTTTTTAAACAAAAAACCAAAACAACAACAAACCAAAACACAAAACCAAACCCACCCCGAGATGACTGCTTGAGAGAATTCACGCTCCCAGACGTAAACGAACGAGTAGATTTTTCAAGACCTGGCATTCACGCCCATCAAAACCATTGACATTAAGTAAATGTATGGATATATGCACATGACATTAAATGGAATCTGCTGAATTCTGCATTGTAGTGTCTGACTTACTGCACGGACCTTGCTTAACGTGGTTTCGGTGTTTTCGCAGCAGAGCTGTGCTTTGGTGCAGAGCGTGCCGTCTTCAGGAGTGGGCCTGGGCGAGCAGGGACGTGGAGCTCAGCGGTGTGGTGTTGCTCTGGGTGCTGCCTGGGCCGGAGGAGGGGACCAAGGGAATAGATACGGGATAAAATTGTTGTACGTCAGCATTAACTCCGGGCTGTGGCGCTGGTGCTGCTCTCCTCCTTCCCTGTGCGGATCTGCTCGGCAGCACCGGCTTTTTAAGATGGGTGATGGTGTGGAGTGCAGCTGCTTGTCGTTGTTTAGTGTTGTGCTAACGACTGGGCATCCCAAATTTCCCACTGTTGAGCACTTCAGCTGCGTTTCCCCCAAACCACTCGGGTAAGGTACCACCCCTACAGTGATTCTCGCTTTCTGGAGAAGGGTAGCCAAGGGGTGACGGCGGTCTCCTGGAGATTTTGAACACCCACGCTTGCCTTTTGAAGTTTCTGTGGTGAAATCCTTGGGCAACTTCATGTCCTATTCCCAATTAGAGGCCGAACCACCGCGTGCATTGTCCCCTTGCCGTGGGGCACTGCTGCCTGGGTGCATTGTGTGCATCTACCTTTGGGTTATGAAGCGTGGGGGCACGTGGACCTTTACCGTTGATACTCATCGGAGGTGAGCACAGCAAACTTCTGCCAGTGTGGAACAAGAAGGCAGTAAAAGAGCTGAAATGGGTGGTGGGCTGCCTTCATCGAGGCAAACGGAGCCTAATGGCTCTTCCCCCTTTGTGCCAGTAAAGCCATCTTCTCTTGAGTTGTGGTTGAACATTATTGGGTTGTTTAGTTTGAGGGCGTCTATAGGAGGACAGGTAGGAACCAGGTTTGGGTGTGGTGTGGTAAACCTTTGCGTGTTGTGCAGTGCAGACTCGAGGAGGCTGAAATTTCAAAGAGGGGTCTCAACCAGAAAAGGCTGCAAAAAGGACAGCTTAAGGTGGAGAAGGACCTGGCAATTGCCTGAGTTGTGGACAAAGAGAAACCAAGATCTTTGCCAGCAGGGTGGAGTTTGAGATCCACTGAGATCCATCTCAATTTAGTCCTTCCAGGCGGGGAAAGTTTTAAGACCCAAGCGTCTCGATCCCTGTAACCTGGCATGAACAAACATCTTCCTTGTAGAAAATTAACATTGATTTTCCAGCACTGGTGCATCCTCTTAACGTCATTTCTGCCACTGGTTGTCCATGTGCGCTGTTGGCTTGGCGGGGAATGCTGATGAGCACCAGGATTTGGGGATGACACCCTCCGCCCATCCATTCTGCAGCATTCTTTTAACAAATAAGCACACCTCTAGCAAGATTTTGGAGCAGGCGGGAATCCCCAAACTTGACTGCAGATGGTTTTCAGCAGCAGCATCCCGGCCCTGGTGGTTGCTCTTGCTGGCAGACGGTGTGTAGGCATGGGTGGCTCCAGAGCAGCCCACCGTGTTCATTTTCTGCCCAGGTTTTGCCCAGAAAAAAAAGCCAGCAGAAGTTAGTTTGGGAAGGATGTGCCCAATTCTGCACTGTTCTTTTTCAGCCTCCAGGCCCGGGGAGTAAAGAAGGGTTTCCCCATCTTGTGCCAGAGGTCTTCTGCTTTGCACGTGCCGCCTGGCTCTTCCTCAGGGTGACGCTTTTCCTCCCACTCTCCCACATCCCAGGTCAGTGCCGTGCCCGCGGGGCTGCTGCTGAGCAAAACGTCCATCCAGGGCCTGGGAAGGACTCTGATATACGTTGTTTTGAGCGCAAATGAAGATGGTGTTGTCACCAAAGTGTTTGTTTTCCAACAAAAGCTTCCAAATACGTCCAGCCGCCTTGTGATCTTGTTGCAGGTTGGTGAAGGGGGCGAGGGGGAGCAGGTTGGCTTGGGGGAATGTGCTTCGGCCGGGCGACAATGGGCTGAAGCCAAAATTGGCTGCTGTAGGGTTTCTTCTGATGTCTCCTCCGCTCCTAAGCACTGAAAGTGCTGCCAGCGTAGACTTAGGAATCTCTTAACCGATTTTGCTCTCAAAAGACTCCTGTCAAAACAAGGATGTCTCCCTTGATCACCCCTCTCGGTGACTGGGACTGTCCTCCAGGAAGTGCCATGAGGTCCGGCTGCTTTGGAGTTGGTCCCGTCCCCTTTAACACGATGGGGACAGCTTGCTGCAAGCACTGTCCCGTAGGGTTCCTTCACCCCCTGGAAGGCTCAAAGCAATTTGTCCAAGCCCCACTTCGGCCCAGGCTCTGCAAAGCAGCTGCAGAGCTGAAGGGTCTCTCCTTTGGACCTATTTATGATGCTCTGGGTCACTTTTGGCCAATGTACTCCTAACTCAACTAATAACGGCTTCTGCTCAGGTTTCACCACTGGTTGCCCTCAGACGCAGTACACACCAACCACAGCACAGTGTTACCATAACCACTGATTTTTGTTTTCCCTGGGAGAAAGATACGTTGCCAGACAAGTTATTTGAGCAACCCTTTGTTTTGGCTTAATTTTGGTTCATCTCAGCTTCTTGTAGGAGGAGCAGGTCGGGTGCGATGAGTCTGAGCTGTGAGTCTGAGCACGGGGCAGGATTTGCTACCCAGCAGGGTGGTTTCGGCTCTGGCAGCCCTCTGCCAGTTGAGCGAGCATCGGCTCTCCCTCCAAGGTGATTTTTGGGGTGTCTTAAAGGAAAGCTGTGGTGCGTTGACCTTGGCTGGATGCTGGGTGCCCACCAAGCCGCTCTGTCACTCCCCTCCTCAGCAGGACAGGGCAGGGAGAAGATAAGATGGAAAAACACTTGTGGGTCAAGATAAGGCAGTTTAAGAAAGTGGAAGCAAAGGAGAACAAAAGATTTATTCACTACTTCCCATCAGCAGGTGATGTCCAGCCACTTCCCAGGGAATCAGGGCTTCAGGATGTGTAGCGGTTGCTCCAGAAGACAAATGTCCTAATGGGTCTGATGTGTCAGGCCATTGAATCCACACAGTCCAGTATACCCGGTCAGTATATGCAGGCACGGAAGGGTGAGGAGGTAAAGAGATTTTCTTCAAAATTTTGAAGCCAAAACTCCACAGTTGGTGTATCTGTATCTGGGCAATATATGGCTGCTGAGCTGTTAGAATGTGACGCTGGAGTAC